TTTTTTGCATCCCTTTCACATTGGGAAAATGTTTCTTTTTGAGGATTTTTTAAATCCAGGAAACAAAAAGAAGTCGCTTGGGTGAACAGGGAGAGTAAAACATGAAGGTCATGCCATTTGGGGTCAAAAACTACTGAAAACTCAGCATGGTGTGAGCAGGTGTGCTGGTAAATCACCCAACATGAAATGGGCAAATGCTTTGAAAGAATCTCCAGGAAAAAAAATTCACTGAAGCTGAACAAAACGTCTGTCGGGACAGGCGCTCGAATCAGTTCTGCTCACAACTGTAGTGCCCAGACTTAGGATGGGAGCTTGGTACATAGAAAGTGCTTGGTAAAAGTGTCCCAAATTCATATACCAATGAACATTAAGTGCCTCTGCCTTCACACAGGTGTCCGAGTCCTAAAGACCACCAGGAACACACCTGGAGTTAATCATTTGCTGTGGGAAGGGAGAATGGAGAACCGTAGGGTGTTTCAGTGAGAGGATGCTAGAAAGAACCTATCATATGGTCTAGGTTTTGCTTGGGTAGTTTGGGGGAGAGTCTAAGAAAGCAGGGATTTGCCCTAGATTGGATGTTGCAGAAAGCAGGGGGTTTGAATGAAACACAAAGCAGGAAGTGTTCTGGCAGAGTAGTTTTTGTTGTTGTTGACAAATGTAATCTTTTCTTACAAGAACTGAATTTTAAATGTAAAGAAAAGATTCCTCCACCCATTAATGAACCCATGTGCAAATTGTTTTCTTACCCTGAGACAAAATATAATAGCAACAAAAACTAAATCAAGGAACAGTTTTTTTCTTATTCTAAAATCAGATTCCCTTGAAAATACTGTTCTCCTCAAACTATCATTTAGATCTGCAGTATTCTATACTTTCATATTACTAAGTGGGGTAATTAAAAAAAAATTTTATTATAAAGACGTGGGGTACACTTCAGGATTAGGTATATAAACATTGATTATGCAGGTACCCTTGTTGATGAGGTATGCCCCTCCCTCCCCTAGCAGTTTCCCTCTATTGCCTATCCCACCCCTCCCTCCTCTGACAGTTTCAGTGGGGTAATCTTGATCATCTTTGTGTTGTGGAGGAGTACAAATATTTACTCAATAAATTAAAATATGTATCTCTATAGTTCTTAAGAGTTGATATTTTGTGTATATCCCCCCTTTGTTTTGATTCAGGGTCTCACTCTATTGCCCAGGCGGGAGGGCAGTGGCACAATCATGGCTCACCACGTCTCAGTCTCCTGAGTGCAGGTAATCCTCCTGCCTCAGCCTCCTGAGGAGCTGGGACTATACGTGCATGCTACCACACCTGGCTAATTTTTTGATTTTTTGTAGAGACAAGGTCTTGCTATGTTGCGCAACCTGGCCTTGAATTCCTGGCCTCAAGCAATCCTCCTGCCTCAGTCTTCCAGAGTGCTGGAATTACAGGTGTGAGCCACTGCACTTGGCTGCATATATTCATCTAATTGGAATTTCTTAAATGTCTTTGAATAAAGCTTTTTACACTACTTAAAATTATTTGCCAATGCTATCATGCAGCAATGCATGCTACAGAGAAAACTTTCATGAAAGGAAGTCAATCCATGTGTCAAAATATTGTCTTATTTTTAAAAAGTGTAAAAGTTCTCCCTCTCTCACATTCTCTCTCCCTCCTTCCCTCCCTCCCTCCTTCCCTCCCTCTCTCTCTCTCTCTCTTCCCCCTCCATTTCTTTATTTTGACAGAGTCAAGGTCTCACTTTGTAGCCCACGCTGGGATGCAGAGTGGCATGATAATGTCTCACCACAACACTGACCTCCTGGGCTCAGGTGATCCTTTCCTCTCAGCCTCCCATGTCGCTGGGATTACAGGAGTTGCCACCAAGCATGCTCAGCTTATTTTTCTGATTATTTATTTATTTATTACTATTGTTATTTTATAGAGTCAAGATCTCGCTATTGTGAGGGCACGGATAGGGTGAAGATGGATGAATGGAGGGGGAGAGGCACAGGGAAGCGCAGCACCACTGGAGCCGGGCAGGCTGGAGGTGCGCGCTGGCAACCCAGAGATCCAAGCAATGCAAAGAATTGCAGCACACAAAGAGGTGAGAGAAGATAGATCTATTTAAGAAAAGTTTGCTCCCCACCCCCTACAGACAGCGACTGGGCCTACGCTCTAGGTGAGTGTGGCACCGTAGCTCCTCCAGTCTTGGCTTAAATCCTTTCCCTTGGAGATGTTGCAATCAGGTAGACGTGACTGCCATGACTTTCTTATCCACCACCTGCGAACCTCTGACGCAGAGACCCGTTACTATCTGCCTACATTATCATAGTCCCTAGAGAAGGGCGTGATAAGGATTCCAGTGCTCCTGAACCTTCCCCAACGACATTCCTTAGAGCTAATGGAGGGTGGATTTCTCCTTATCTCCTAGACATTCCCAGTGGGTAGCTTTGGGGGATCTTGGCTTCCCTGTAGGTAGGGCCCATTTAACTGGAAGATTGAATTCCCACCTGCTCCCCTCTGGACGGTCATAACTTTTGTAATTACAAGTTTCATGACTTTTACAATCATTACCCAATGCATGATGTCTTAGGCCTTGTAAATACCCTTTATTCTAGGCAAGCTTGATTGCTGCTGTGAAATATCTGATACCTGGCACCAGGAAGTCTGTTTCTGAAAAGGCAAAGTCGGCCAGGTAAATTTTTCCTAGAGTGTGCATTTCTCCAAAAACATAGCTTCTACTTTTTCATCATTTTATTAAGGTTTAAGAACAAGATTAAAAAATAATGCATTTCCCACTCTCGATCTGTCCTCTCAACTATGTTGCCTAGGCTGCACTGGAACTCCTGGGCTCAAGCGATTCTCCTGCTTTGGCCTCCCAAAGTTCTGGGATTACAAGCGTGACCCATTGCACTGGCTATGCTTTAATTAAAAAGAAAAATTGTTGTTTACCTTTTGGTTTACCTCAAAGGCTTGAGAAACACTATGAAGTCTGACAGGTGGCACCTGGTGGTTAAAAATGATCATTCCAAGCAACCTACAGAGCACAGGTGATGGGCTTTGCTGGGGGAAATGCACATAAGCCGAAGAGTCCATGGAAAAGAGCCTCTGTCAACTGGAGCTCTTGGTTGTAAGCAGCCAAAATTACATCTCACTCACTTGAACGGAAGAGTACTGTCTCTGGAGGACAATGTTGCCACTTGACAGTACTGTCTCTGGAGGACAATATTGCCACTTGACAGCAGTTGCCACCTTCTGAATGCCCCCAGGGCCTGCTGCTCCTGGACACTATCACTTCTGGCACACCACCTTGGCCCCTTAGAATCTCAAGATCCCAATGCAAAGCCCAGAGTAGCATGCGTCTAGTTGGCCTGGCCAAGGTTGTATTCCAACGCCCAAAGTGCAACAAAGGTTGAGAGAGTGCCTGGATATTTTGGTTTATTTAATAAAACATCGGGCCTGCCTTCCACCAAGACATATGGGATGGGGGGTGGGGGGGACTTATGTATTTATTTTTACATATTTAAACTTCAGTCGCCTTCAAAGTATTCTCCTTCGTTTCATGCAATACATCTATGGAGATACTTTTTCCACTACTCAACACAGTTTTTGAACTTGTCAATGATGATGCCTTTTAGTGCTTCTGCCATTTTTTTGTTCTTACACATGGGCGAAATGGTTTTCCTTTGAGGACATTTTTCATCGGGGAAACAAACAAACAAAAAGTCACTAGGGTGAGATCGGTTGAATAGGGAAGGGTGGGGTACAAAGACTAAACTACTTTGATCAAAAACTGCTGAACACCTGTGCAATGTGGGCAGGCACACTTGTACATCACCCATCATTAAACGGGCAAATGCCTTGAAAGAATCTCCAAAAAAAAAAAAAAAAAAAGGCCCCTGAAGCCGAGGGCAACCTCTCGCAGTAATAACTGGTATGCTGATACCTATGGGTTCCTAGAACACTCACCTAGTGGGGGAAGCCTGTACTACAAGGGGCCAGGTCTCCAAAAAAATAGTTCTGGGTTTTTTTGGGTCTCCCCCTCATCTACCGTACAGAATTCAATACAGAGGAAAGGGCTCATGTCCTAAGTACTCAGTCAAGAACAAAAGTCTACTGGAGACCTTAACTTCACTAGGCATCAGGTGTAACCAAAATGCATTTTAATCTTAATGACATAGAAGACTATAACATTTTATGCCACCTAATGCTTTCAAGAGATTTTTTAAAAATAATTATGGTAGCTTTATAGAGAGATGACTAAAGTAGTCGCTCTCCTCATCCCTCTTCTACCATCCAAACACCTACCCACCTTGTCCCTCAACTCAAGTGTCTACTCTGAGGCATTCCTTGCCACTAAATCACTTTCCCTCCTTCCTGCTTCCTACTCCCAGGAGAAGTAAATGATTAGGTAAATGATAAATGATTAGGTAGTACTAGTTGTGCGTTTTTATTATTTATTAAAACTTTACACTGCCTTGTCTTCCATGCAACGTGATATCAGGCAAGCCTCTTCATCTCTCTCAGCCTCAGTTTCCAAGTTTGTAAGATGGAAATGTAATGAAAAGCCTTACACAGTTATGACAAGATTAATGGAAATAAATATCTATAAAGTACTTAGGCACAATGCCTAGGATTTTATGAGTTTTCCAAAATGACAGGGAATATTATTTCACATCTTTCTTTGATCATGGGCTCCCTGGAAGGCAAGGACAACATCTTTTTCTTTCTCTTTTCTGGACAGAGGCTCTGGTGCTCCATTAATGTTTGTTGAATTGCATTGCTTGCCCCTAAATAGAAACTAGTTCACCAACTTGCTTCTATGTCTCAATTTATTTGTAGTTCTCTCTTTAAGATCTGTAAATAAAATACACTTTAAAAATAGAATATGAAATAATATCCATTCAATATCTGAGTCATTTTCCTCAGAAGTATTACTAACAGAAACTTAAATCTCTCCACAGGCCTTGAGAGTATTAAAGCAGAAGATAACATAAGATTTTCATCTTATCATGATCATGAAACCATTATCGGAAGGACAGTTAAGGCTTTGTGTTGTCCAACCAGTACACCTCACTCCGTGGCTCCTTATGTTTTTTATTGTGAAGTCTATCTCTTCTTTAAAACCTGCTCAACTTCCAATTTATCAAAGAAAACCTTTTATAGCTGCTTGGAATGCTCCAACAGATCAGTGTTTGATAAAATATAATGTAAGACTAAATCTGAAAATGTTTCAGGTGATGGGAAGTCCACTAGCCAAAGCTAGAGGGCAAAATGTCACTATATTTTATGTCAACAGATTGGGGTATTATCCATGGTATACATCACAGGGGGTCCCCATCAATGGGGGTCTCCCTCAGAACATAAGTTTGCAAGTACATCTGGAAAAAGCCGACCAGGATATTAGTTATTACATCCCTGCTGAAGATTTCAGTGGACTTGCTGTGATAGATTGGGAATATTGGCGACCCCAGTGGGCCCGGAACTGGAACGCAAAAGATGTCTACAGACAGAAGTCAAGAAAACTTATTGCTGATATGCAAAAGAATATATCTGCTACTGATATTGAATATTTAGCCAAAGAGACCTTTGAAGAAAGTGCTAAAGCTTTCATGAAGGAAACCATCACCTTGGGAATTAAGAGCCGACCCAAAGGCCTTTGGGGTTATTATTTATATCCTGATTGCCATAATTATAATATTTATGCCCCAAACTATACGGGGTCATGTCCAGAAGAGGAAGTTCTGAGGAACAACGAGCTCTCATGGCTCTGGAACAGCAGTGCTGCTTTATATCCTTCTATTGGCATCAGGAAATCCCTTGGAGATGGTGACAATGTTCTGCGTTTCTCACAGTTTCGGGTGCATGAATCCATGAGGATCTCCACCATGACATCCCATGACTATGCTTTACCTGTATTTGTCTACACAAGGCTGGGGTACAGAGACGAACCCTTATTTTTTCTTTCTAAGGTAAGAAGCTCCTTGCTTGGGGGATTTCCTTGGGGGATTTCCTCCCTACCTCCAAGAGAGTCGTTTCTTTGTTAATTGTGGTCTTAGAAGAACTCCAATGATTGGTCTGTTAGCTAGGAGTGTAATTCTTCCTTGAGCAGTCATCCACTTAGACTCGTAATTGATCTAGGTTGAAGATTGATTACCTTATCTATTTATTTGCAGAATGAAGTCAGGTAGAAAGGGGTTAAAGTGAGATACCTGCAAATACTACACTTCCACTTTCCTGTCCTTGACTGTACTCCCCCCTACAGTTGGCCTTTTTGGAACTTTGTTGGAATGATTGTTGGTGAACAGGCTATGGAGTCAGGAAGAATGTTTTATATATTTATTTTTTATTTATTTATTTATTTTTGAGTTGGAGTCTCACTCTGTCACCCAGACTGGAGTGCAGTGGCCACTCCCAGCCACCGCAGCCTCGACCTGCTGGGCTCCGGCGATCCTTCCACCTTAGCCTTCCAAGTAGCCGGAATTGCAGGCATGCGCTACCACGCCCGGCTGGTTTTTTGATTTATTGTCGAGATGAGGTCTTGCTGCCCAGGCGGGTCTCGAACCCGCGGGCTCAGGCAATCCACTCACCTCAGCCTCCCAAAGGCGCGGGATTACGAGTTGAGCCACCGAGCCCGGCAGGAAGAATGTTTTAAAATGTAGTGTTTGCACATGCATGTGGAAATGAAATTGGAGGGATTTCTGCTTCTGGCTTTACCATCTCAAATATCAAGAGGTTTTTTTAAAAAGTGCTTTCTTTTTCTTTTTAAAGTATGATTCCAGTTGTAACAAAAGGTATAAGGGAGGTACAGCCATGTGAATATATGTAGCACTAATGAATTGCACACTTAAACATGACTAAGAGTAAATTTTATGGTTTTTTAATACAAATAATTTTTTTAATTAAAAAAGTTATGAGAAAGGTGGCAGATATGTGAAAAGCAGTCTACAGATTTAGCCACCTGTAAGATCACAGCTGGTGGAAAGTTGCTAAGAGTTCTACATTCAATACTTGAATCACTAGTAAACGGTTTTATAGCTCTGGTTAAAATTTACAGATAGAAGTTTGATTCTATCTGTTTATTTTATAAGCTGTATATGCTGCCAAAGACTTCATGCAAATCATGAGAGTGACTTTTAAAATAGGTAAACCTTCAGCCAGATTTCCCTGCCCTTCCTCTGTCTTTGCTAGTCTGGCCCCTTAAATGGAAATTTATAGGCAGAGTAGTTGGCATGCTAACCTTTGGATTTGGATAATTATGTGCAGTGTAACTACACTGAGAAGACTTGATACTTGTTCAGGCCTTCACATAAGCAATGTTTTAAGGTATTACTAAATGTAACATGATATGTTTTAACAGAAGCATTTCTTCTCTTTCCACTGTGACAAATTTCAATTCACCCCCAGTGTGTGTTAAAATAAAGACACTCTGAGCATTAGGCATCCTAAGGAGAAGACTTAGGAAACACCCAGGAGAGGCCTCTGCTCTGACCAGTGGGTATTTATGGAACATCTGTAGAGTAGAGTGTATTCATCAGAGGGAGAAATGATGGGTAGGTATGAATATGATGAATGCTGTGCCTCCAATACCTTTCATGAGATGAAGAAGGGAAAAAAAACCTTTATAGTAAACTGATATTCATACTACCCAGAAAAATTAGCGATACATGACTGAATGAAGAATGACTGGAAATCATGACTCTCTGGAAGGTTTAAAAAAGTTATCTAAATCTTTACAAAATCATCTTGACTACTCTGGAGTTGAATCGAGAGTTAAATACCACCTTCTTTTATGAAGCTTTCCCTTTTCGATATTTGGCTCAAAGGAGTTCCTTTCTTTACTGATAATAAGTTTACCTTTGGAAGAGACAATAAACTTTAAGGAACTAAATGTTCATTACAAAAGATTTGTTTAGCTTACTGGAACATTCTGGACAATCTGTGAACCTGTGGTAATCTTTCTTATGTAGCTACTGCCTTGGAAATGCTGTGGTCCCTCTCAGAAAAAAAATGGAGCGCCCTTTCTGCTGCTAAATGGCAAGCTATTTCCAAGTGTTTTAAACCATCAGTGTACCCACCATTGTACCCAATGCACCATAAAAACCTGCCCACAAATTTTTCTTAAAAGCTGATATTCATTTGTACCAAACTCTAAATGACCATTAATAGATTCCACTTTTGACCTTACCAACAGTGACTGCATCTTAAAACACACACATATGCACACAAAGATCAGAAAAAAGATTAACCAACACACACACACACACACACACACACACACACACACACACACACACTTAAGATTAGAAAAAAGATTAACCAATAAGTAACAAATCTCTTAACCTCCCTGGAACCTCAGTGTCTTAATGTACTGAAAATAGGACAGAGTTACCTGCCCTATTCACCTAGCAGAAGTATTATGAAAATCAAATGAAAACATACATATAAAAATGTAAAGCACAACAGAAATAGGTGTGGCATGGTCATCACTTTTTAAAAAGGTATCAAAGCCTTAAACTTAAATATGGGATATTTCAGAGTGGACTCTCAGACACCAGCCATAGCTTGGGGGAATAATATGAAGGCAATAAAACCTCATTTCACGCAGAATATTGCCTAGTTCACCTACATAAACCTAGATAAAACCTGCTGCTGTGCCTCTTAAAGCTTTATTTATTTAGACAGACAGATTTAGGGAGTACAGGTGCAGTTTTGGTACACGGATATATTGCATGGTGATGACGTCTGGGTTTCTAATGCATGCATCACCTGGATAGGGAACATTGTACCAGTAAGTTACTTCTCATCCTTCTCATCCCTCATCCCCTCCCACCCTCCCAGCTTTCAGAGTCTCCAATGTTTATGATTTCGCTGTGTATGTCCCTATGTACTCATTGTTTTGCTCCCACTTCTAAGTGAGAACACGAGGCATTTGACTTTCTGTTTCTGAGTTATTTCACTGAAGATGATGGCCTCCAGTTCCTTCTGTGTGCTGGACTTTTAAAATAAATAATAAAAAGGGTTTCTTTGGCTATAGATTTAAAGATGTTTACGACCCAGTAAATAATTACTGCTCTCTCTGGTAGTGCACACAGGGAGCTCACTAGTAAGGCTCCGGCTCCCCACAGTGGGCACCTTTCTTCCATGCACTCTGGTATGCACTGGAGATGGACACACAAGTGAGGAGGCTGAGTCCTCTGGGTGTCCCTACTTCTTCTGCTGAACCTTGATTTGGGTCCGAGGAACGTGGGGAGGGGCAAAGTAGCCTTTTGCCACACTGGGACCTGGGAGGTTTATTTTCACCACCTCTGCTTTTATTTTATATATATATATATATATATTTAAAATAACATCCTCGGCATATTATTGCTTTTAAAAAAATATTTTCAGGAACAGAAAATTCACTACGCTCATCAGTAAATAAAGTCTGGGTGATACAGATACAGATAAAATTGAAAAAAATTAGATAAAGAAAATCACTCTGTGGTGCTGAGTTTATCTTTAAGGGCATCACTCAGGACTCTCAGCTGCAGTTCATCTTCTTCGTGGTCTTCCTTATTGTCTACCTCATTTCCACCACCTCTGCTTTGCTCTTTTCTTTCTCCTTTCGAGTGACACCATCCATGTGGCTCATATTCTCATCTGGTGCCAATCTACTCCCAGAGGCCTTTTGTATGTGATCTGTAATACTCACTGGGTCATGCTCTTGCATTTCTGATCCCCCAAACATAGCTGCTTTGTGATTCCTACAGCACCCTGCTCTCAGCTAGGCGACAGTGAACTAATTTGATGAGAAACTAGTTTGATAACTCATTTGGAAGAAACTTATATCAGCCTCAGAAGGCATGGCTTCTACCACAAACATCTGTAGCTTCCATACCTAACAGAATACAGATCAATAACCTATGTTCTTCTCCTTGTTTGATGATGACACCTTAACCCAAAGGAGAGCTCTTGAGGATTTCTGCCCCTGACTACACCATGTGAATATTACGTCACTGTTTTCAGGGAAGTTTCAAAGGGAGTGCAGTGAGGAGTTCTTCTCTTCTATTTTTTTGTTTTTGCCAAAGTAGGCAATGGACATGGACCCAACAGAGTCTACAATCTGGTTGCTACATAGATGACTCCTCCTCTGTCTCTATTCATTGTAACAATGATCATTTTCTAAATCCTTTTATTTACACTGTCTTATTTAGGCCTCATAAAAGCTCCTCCCCTTCCTGTCATGTCAGCTCTGATCTGTTCAGCACACACTATGGTCATGAAAATGAAAATAAATGTGAACCTGAAAGGGTAATTAGTTTAAACCAAAATATTTTCCCTTTTTGAAAGGTACGGGGGGAAAAAAACTTTAAGAACTGAATTGTAAAACCTTTCAATGGTGAACTATAAAAGTATCAGATAAGGAGATTTATTTGTCAAGTACTGATATTAATATGAAGTGAACAAGGAAAAATACAGTTTAAGGTTCTTCATTTCCCACTAAATCACCCATTAACTTTTCCAGCATATGACTGGTGAAAATTCAACCATGGAGTCAAAGGCAAATAGTATCCTAATGACTAGGGGAAGATGTTATAATCTAATAAACTGGGAAACCAATGACATATGTTCAACTATCAATTTTTCCCACAAAACAATCAAGATCCGTGTTTACTTTTAAACACTAAAACAATAATCCTTTAAGATTATAAAATTAAAATTCTTTCTGTTGGAATCTTAACTTCTTCTCTCTTACCCATATTGCAGAAAATCCCGGTAGCTTCTCCATGATTTTATGAGTCATTAGTAAAGCCCATGAAGTCAGGTACTTTGAAATTAAACACAGATAAATTCAGTGACCAAATATAAAAGTTGGACCAAACCAGAGCCTGCAAACCCTTCACACGGCTTGTTTACCTGGCCTTGGAATTGAAATGATACAAACCCATCTGAGTAAGTAAAGTTCTGCAGAAACATGTTGCAATATTGAAAAGGAACCTAATTAAGAAGATTGCACCTGGAGAAGGAAACCTTTTGGATTCTATTTATGGGTCATGTACATACGACGTGGGTCCCTTGTAGTTCAGTCTTCCCCTGCTAGGTGTTTTAGGAACTCATCATCAGTGCACCTGCTAGCATTGTTGTAAGAGACTGCGTTCAGCTTTAGTGAATTTTTCTGTGGAGATTCTTTCAACTCATTTGTCCATTTCATGATGGGTGATTTATGAGCCCATACTTCGCTGAATGTTCAGCAATTTTTGACCCAAAACAGCATGATCCCCATGCTCTGTCCTCCCTATTCACTTGATCTTTCCCCACATGACATTTTTTTGTCTTCCTGGATCAAAATGTTCTCAAAGGGAAATGTTTTGCCAATGTGTAAGAGCTGAAACAAAAAATGGCAGAAGCACTAAAAGGCATTCAAATCGATGAATCTCTAAACTTCTGAGCAGTGGAAAAAGCATCTCAATAGGTGTATTGCATCTAATGAAGACTACTTTGAAGGTGACAAGTTTAAACATGTGAGAATAAATACCCCAATTTTTTATAAATAAGTTCCGGGTTTTATAAATAAGTTTCCGGGTTTTTTACAGTTAATTTTTATAAAGGCAGTAATCATAACGCTGACATTTGATGAATATTTACTTTGTGCTGAAAGTTTGTTGTTTTGGATTTACTCATTTAGTTCGGGGTGTATTGTAATCTGGCTTGTGGACATACACCCCGAACTAATTTCGAGTGAATAACATTTGATTAACTGTTAACAGACTGTGTTTCCGAAATAATACACTGCATGGAAAAATCTAAGTTTTCCTTTAAAAATATTTATATGTTTTTGCATATGGTTATAGAGTGTCATTTTGAGAATTGGTTCATTCATTTGTTTCACTCTAAGAAAGTGGATTATATGAGCTCCATCCCGGCCCTATTGTACTGAACTCAGCTCCTAATCCCAATTCCTGGTGGGTAGTTTTATTCAAATTCAAATTAATAATGAACTCTACTCTCTTCCATCTAGCAAGATCTAGTCAGTACCATAGGAGAAAGTGCTGCCTTGGGAGCTGCAGGCATTGTTATTTGGGGAGACATGAATTTAACTTCATCTGAGGTAAGTCAGTACCTTGAAGGTATATTTAATGATTTTAAAAGTATTTCCTCTGTTTTTTGCAGAACTCACTGTAAAAAAGCTCTCATGACCCCTATGATAAACCAGCTTCAGAATAAAAGTACCAAATCAGAACTTGATACATAGAAAGAGCTCTATAAATACAGTTAATTTTTATAAAGGCAGTAATCATAACGCTGACATTTGATGAATATTTACTTTGTGCTGAAAGTTTGTTGTTTTGGATTTACTCATTTACTGGTCATATGAGGTCTTGACACTCATCCTCATTTACAGATGGGGAAACTAGAGAGGGAACCTGACCAGGTCAACGGCTGTTTAGCCTAGTTAGTGGTGGAACTGGCATTAACCACACACAGTCTGAGGATGGAGACCTTGACTGTAACCACTACATAAAATGTGATATCCTATTTTAAGAAGTAGAAATAGGTAGTAACTTTTAAATCTCCACATTGAAGTTATTTTTTTCTCTACAGAGAAATCAGCTGAAAATTAATAGCATTTAAAATAAGATGTTTATATCTTTAAATTTCTCCCAGCTGAGATATCATTGACTCTAAGAAATCTACCTAGTTCTCCCCAGTCTATGTTAATCACAATCTCTTCTGTATGTCCAGATGTCATTTGTTTATATCTCTAGAGCGTATCACAATTTGCCTTGAATATAATACTGGCACCCTCAACACTTTTTGTGAAGTTGCAGTTTTTGAAAGTTCATGGTAATTTGATATTATTCTTAGAACTTCATAGTCTCAACCTGTTGCTGCTGAGATAGCCTTCATGAAATGATTTATGACTATGTCCACCTAGGAGAACTAGGTAGACACTGGGAGGATCAATTTCTGACTTTCCAGGTGTGATATTTCCACTCCAACCCCCACGTGGCCCAGGAGAAGAGCTCCCTCAGGAAGGTGGTAGCACAACCCAGGTGGCCTCTGTTTAGAATAATAATAGGAACCACACACACGAAAATTACTTTGTCAGTCTGTGAGGTATTCTCTGGACATAGACTGTTTCGCCCTTTACCTGGCTTCTTCCTGCCTCCTCCCTCAGGGAGCAGTCTCCAGCCAAGGCTGGTCTCTGAGGGGTGTGCATATTCCCAGTAATGAGTCACAGGATACAGGTGACCAAGAAAAGCTGAAAACAATGTAGTCATCACTCTTACTATAACTGTACATACTGAATAGCAATGTGAATGATTAACTAGATTATAAAATGGGTTGCTATACTGCCCCAAGGTATGGTGACCTGCCACCACCATTGCTTCCAATGTTTTTCCCTGCTGGACCTTTGGGAGACTTCTTTGGAATAGGTAAACATTACATGCAAGGCTTCTCATATTTGGGGTTACCACATTGCACAGTCTTACAGGCTCTTCTGTGTTTTAATTGTATATGGAGATGTAAGACAGTTGCTATTTGAGGATAATTAACAGGAAAACCCAGAAGGCTACAAGTTGATGCTTGACAACAAATGGTGGAATATAACAATTCAGGTTCTGATACAACTGTGGAGGCACCGCATACCTGGAAAGTATCCTGAGACAGCAGCTCTGGCATGGCTTCTAATTTGGGTGTGTTCCTCTCCTTTTCACATCCATTAACTTGGGAGCTGGGGGCAGGGGAGAGTGGGATGTAAATTGGAGGAAGGCAAGGTTGTATATGCTGATTCTGGGGCCCATTTCCAAGTTTGTTTGCTTAGCCTGACTGTTACATACTCTCTATCTCCTGTCCCCGAGACCTCTCCCCTTTCTGATCTGAGACTCATGTGCCATCATAACTAGGAGACTAAGAGTTCACCAACCAGAACCAAGCTGTAAGGTTTCAATCAAATTCAAAGAACCACCTTGTGGGCTTAGAAACTGTAATCAGGAGAACCACTAAACGCCATTTATTTTTCTCCATTTCTAGGGCAACTGTACCAATGTGAAGCAGTTTGTGAGCTCTGATTTAGGGAGCTACATAGTCAATGTGACCAGGGCTGCAGAGGTATGCAGCCTTCACCTCTGCAGAAATAATGGAAGGTGCATGAGGAAGATGTGGAAAGCTCCCAATTACTTGCACTTGAACCCTGCAAGTTACCACATAGAGCCCTCTGAGGATGGGGAATTTATTGTGAAAGGAAAAGCATCTGATACAGACCTGGCAGTGATGGCAGAGAAATTTTTCTGCCATTGTTATAGGGGATATGAAGGAACTGATTGCAAGGAAAGGAAGACAGCTGATGGCTGCTCTGGACTGTCCCCTTTTTCTGGCTCACTAATAACACTATGCCTGCTGGTTTTAGCAGGTTATCAGGATACTCAGTCATGAGATAATTGAGTTTAAAGAGAACTGCATGGCCTCTGGAGTAGTCTCTTAAGGAAGAGATGAAATTCATGACTATTTTTTTCTGTTATGAATTCCATTGAGAGGTATTATTATTATATTTTTGATGCAATTATTTAATGACACAGGAAAATAACCTCACTGAGAGGTATTATAAAGAGACATCAGGAGGCCTGACAATTAAGTTCACAAACTCATCCTAGAAAAAGTGCTAAATACCTCGTTGATGATTGTCACGACCGTCATCTTCAAAGTACTCCCCTTGGAAAGCTGTGCACTGATGCCAGTGCCTGACTCACCTGTGAAAGCAATTTTGGAGCTCTTCTTCTGGAATGGACATCAGTGTTGTCATCCTGTTGTCCTTGATGTCCTGAATGTCATCTAAATGTCTTCCTTTCAATATTTCCTTTATCTTTGGGTAAAGAAAAAAGTCATTGGGGGCCAGATCAGGTGAGTAGGGAGGATGCTCCAATACAGTTAATTGTTTACTGGATAAAAACTCCCTCACAGACAGTGCTGTGTGAGCTGGTGCATTATTGTGATACAAGAGCTCTCTAGGGACCATTTTTGCACACAGCTTTCTCATGCCAATGTTTTCAGTTAAGATGTTCCTAACTGTTTCCCTATCGATGTTTATTTGGTCTGCTATGCCTCTCCCAGTCAGCTGACGATTTTGACCCACAACTGAATGAATTTTTGCAATATTTTCATCAGTTCTGCTCATTACTGACCATCCTGACCTCTCGTCATCAGTTACACTTTCTCTTCCCTCTAATAAACGTTTTAACCATTTGTACACTGCCATTTTCTTCATGGTATTATCCTCATAAATTTGGACTAACATGTTCCAGATTTCACTTCCACTCTTGTCAAGTTTAACAAGAAATTTAACGTTTGCTAATTGCTTAATTCAAGCTCTGACATTCTCACGATGGCACACAAAAATATACAGCAACAATAATGAACGCCACTCAGCAAGACACTGCCATATGTCGAGATGAATATAGCTGTGAGACACTGGTATACCAAGGTTATGAAATCTTCCCAAATTGTTTGTACAGTGTTGCCAGTAGTAAGCACATGATGGCAAGTTCGCGAACTTAAGTGTCACCCCACGTATGTCACTTTAGCATAAACAGAAACATTATTTTATTTGCCTCCAATTTGGCTAAGTAACCAGATTTAGAGTAGAACCAATGCACTCTTCTTCCTTAATGGAATGCTTAAGTTGTATTTAAATTAAAGCTATAATTTAGTCTTTCTAGGAATGTACCTACCTCTAAGTAAACATATAAATAGTAAATTGTTGATTTTAAAGACTGTTTTCTCCAGCTAGCAATTTGTTTAAAGACAGAATACCAAGTAATGACCTGATTCAACAGAAGAGGTCATTTCAGGACGTGACCTGGTCAACTGGTCCACTGAAGAGGACCAAACGCAGGGTTTCTCTTCCAGTCTCAGTTCACTCTAGGCTTCTGTTTCCCCTCTGGACTGATTGAATAGAGAACATTTCCTGATGAACTTCTCACTAGGGATCAGAGACCGAGGCAAGGGAAGTTTCTCCCCACTCATTGCAAAGACATCTGTTCCAACATGGCGCCTCTCTCATCCACCATGAGACCTTTCCTCGTAGACCCTGCAGGCGGAATACTGCGAAAGGCTTTGGGATAATATCCATGCTTGCGTAGATTGATGCTGCTGTAGGAAGCCAGAGCCATGTTAATAAAAATGCAGCTGGTGACTTTTGCAAGCAAAAATTATTTTTTTAAAAAAGATTTAATGCCATCTAAGATACCCAGAATGCTGTTGAAAAGGTAGTCTATGAGAAATGTTAGATATTCTTCCTCCTCCCCATATGAGTTTTGAGTAGTGTATTTAGAGTGATCTTGAGTCTAATTTGAATCATGATTTCAATATTTATCGGGTTGTGTGACCTAGTTAGTTATTTGTGTTCCCCACTTTGTCATCTAAAATTTGGTAATGTAATTTCTACATTAGTGAATTACTGTGAGGAGTCAATGTTATTTATCCTTTGCATACTTTGACTTTTAATTCATGTTGCTGACCCTCAACCAACTCTTGATCATAAAAGCAATGGAAAGTTCAGGTTAAAACTTGGTCTTGGGCAATTTTGTCTTCTTGATGTTATGTTCTATTTGATATCACTTATGTGTTGTGCTCTCTTTAGAGTCATGTTCAATTGATAGGAATTCCTTCCCTGGAGACAATCCACTTGAAAGGTAAACTCAAGATAGGTATGATGCCATTATAGAAGGATCGATAGTTGATTCAACTTACCTTCTGCACCGTGTGTGTGTGTGTGTGTGTGTGTGTGTGTGTGTGTGTATGTGTGTGTGTGTGTAACATTTAAAATCTTTTAAAATGAGTTTCTGCCTGTCAGAATCTATTGTCATTGTTAATGCTAATTGCTAAATTATTCTAAATGTAAACAACAACAACAAAAAAACTTTTTATAGACCAGGCATGGTGACTTATACCTATAATCCTTGAACTTCGAGAGGCTGAGCAGGAGGACTGTTTGAACCCAGAAGTTTGAGACCAGCCTGGGCAACATAGTGAACATTATCTCTACAAAACATCAAAAAGTTAGCTGGGCATGGTGGCATGTGCCTATAGTCCCAGCTGTTTGGGAGGCTGAGGTGGGAGGATTGCTTGAGTCTGGGAGTTTGAGACGGTTGTGAACCATGATTGTGCCATTATACTCCACCCTGGACAACAGAGTGAGACCCTGGACAACAGAGTGAGACCCTGACTCAAACCAAACCAAATACTTTTATAATACCATGAGTGAGAGGTAGCATTGTATAGATTAACTTTGAAACAAAAATAACTTTCATATCAAAGATGGTATATCATATTACAGAAAATTTTATAAATGGAAAAATAATAAAGGAAATCACCAATAATCACTATAACATGTCCTGGTAACTTTGAGTGTCTTTCTTTCTAACATTTCTTCTGAAGACTTTTTTACATGATTATAATAATATATGCATATTTTTACATACTGCATTTTTCTCTTAGCCATATATTAAAGGTAGTTTTCATGTTATTTCATAATCTTTATAGCTATTATTTAAAATAACTTTTAAGACCACATAATAATCCATCAGCTGGATGCAGAACAATTAAATGAACAATTTTCCATATGTTTTGATTTTTAAGTGTCATGCTTTCACTATTTTGTCACCTCATCAGAGAAAACTTTCCAGATCATCTTCCTAATCCATTCACTCACTTGTTGACCAGTTTGTTTATTAATCAATGTATTGAGCATTACTTCTCATCAGACATTGTCTATCTTTGGACTACATCTTTGAAAAAATCAGAGAGAGTGCTGCCTTCTTTAAACTTACATTATAGCTGGGGGAGATAGATATTAAACACAAAAATAAGCAATTTCTATCATACGTTAGAAGGGGATAAGATTTATAGGAAAGAAAATAGAGAACAAGTGGAGAAGGGTGGTATTTTCCACGCTTAGGCCTAATCAAGCAGGAGATATTGAATGAAAACTTGAAAGAGGAGAGTCAACCATGAGGGTACTTGGGTGAAGGTAGGTGAATTCAGGTGGTGCAAATTTGGTAGTGGACCTGGAGCATTCAAGGGGCAGCAAGGAGACACCAGGAATGAAATATTTCCTTCAACATCAACTTCTCTTGTTTATTCCTTGCTTAGTAGCATGTATCATCTATCTGACATAGTATATATTGCATATTTGTTTGTTTTCTGTCTTCCCTCAGTAGGATGTAAGCTAAGAAAACAAGGACTTCATATTTGTTCACTGCTATAGTGCCTGGCACTTACTAGGTGTTCAACAAGTAGTGTGAAATGAAGGAATCAATGAGTGATTCAGAAACTGAATACCTGAGGCCTACAAATATGTTATTTGTTTTTCTCTTCACATTAGTGGTGAGGCATTGCAAAGCCACTCTCAAGTCCTCCTGTTCTATTTTTATCCTAGCACCTTAGCCTGTGAAATCACTAGTCTCACTTTCCCGTGAAGAGTTGAGGCCTGGAGAGAATAAATCTCTTGGCAAACTCAAACAGCCAGTTTGTAAAACAGCAATCTGAAATCCACTTGCTGAGTTTTCTTCCCATCATAACTTTGTCTTCCTCTTCTTGTATTTGAATTCAAATATATTGATTCTGTTTGACCATGAATTTAATGCCTATTAAATTTTTCTTAATTTGGACTGCTGCTACAATACTGGGTGTGTCCAACCAATCACCAGATCTTCTAGCTACAGATTATCTGTGGATTTAACCTGGCTCACTGTTCCTGAGTAGGAAATCCACCTACTAAGCTGCTTGATGACCTCAGCTTCTCAGGATCATTTTAGCTTTCCCTTATGGAAACAGCAAGATACTCGGCCACTCTAATCTTTGGTGTTCTCCCTTGTAAAAGGGAGATAATCTAGCTCTTGTTCTTTTATGCAGATTTTATATATAAACTAAGTAACATAGCACAAAGACTGGCACATAAAAAAGCTTTTAGCAAATGTTAGTTATTATCATCAAGTACTTTCAATATTGGTCCTCATAAAAGCTGTGATAGGTAATATTATCTCTATTTTGAAGTGGAAAAAACTTATGCATGCCTCAGAGTAGTAAATGGAGTTACCTTTTATTACACAGAAGTTCCCAGACTTTGAATCTTTCCTTTTGAACCTTAAGCTAGTTATCTTTAAACCATAACTCAGCAGAAAATACAGAAGACTTATATGCTTTTTCCTTCCTTCCTTCCTTCCTTCCTTCCTTCCCTCCTTCCTTCCTTCCTTCCCAATTTATAGGGTAATAGAGCCCACAAATATACTGATTCTGGCATCAGGATATTATTGCTTTTTTTCCCCCCTATGGAAGAAAAACTGTTAAATTCACTAGTTTATTAGCAATGCACCTATCTGACATACCCTAAGTATCATTTATCCATTAAAAAAAACCTGGGCCCTTTAGAAAAACGT